GTTTAATGCTGGACGTTAGGCTTCAAAAGCACAAACCAACCTGTGGCCTCAAATTGGACCATATATTAAGGTGTGGTGGGTTTCCTGGCCCAGGAGCACTGGCCTCTTCTTTGCCACCCATTTCCATGCTATCTGCCCACCTGAGCTGGGACTTACTCGCAAAAGGGAGGCCTTCCATTCCTGCCCTCTCCCTGGCTGAGAATGTGAGGCAGGCCTGTGGATTTTACAGCTAGCTAAAGACTCTGCTTCTGCTCCACAAATCTTGCTCTCCCTACTAGCACACCAGAGCATGCTATCCCCAAGGAGACAGGACAGTGTCTCATTAGACCTAAGCCACATTCTCCAGCAGAATTTACCAGATGCTCTGCATTTGAGGGATTTATTGGACATTTGCCTAGCCAGAAATAAAGACGACATGTTGGTCTCCATTTTGCTGGTGATCCTCGTATGAACTCTCGATCAGCCAGAACCTTGGAAGAGAAGAAGTACGGTAGCATCAAACCCCATCTGCAACCCCTAATACATTTTTTATACCATGACTCAGATCTAACATGGCAGACACCAAAAATGAAAACCAAAACCAGCTGCCCTTGAGACACCAAGGAATTAGCATTTGAAACCAAAGTGCCCAGTGGAGAGATGGAGGCTCTTGCTGCAACCACAGCAGCTGATCCGAGTACCAATTACATGAACCTGGGCAATTGGCCTTGGCCAACGTGGCAGGTTACACCAGCTTTTACTGCAGTTTCAGCTAGAATGTCAGGCACAGCTTTGGTTGGAATACTCAGTTGCCAAACAACTGATATTGGGGGGGGAAAAAATCCATTCTAAGAAGCAGGAGTAGCTTTTCTTGGACCACACAATGAGCTTGCAGAAATCTGGCCTTGGGCAAAGGTAAGAGATGGGAGAGAAGCTTTCAAAGGGTCTTTGACCTGAAAGGCAGTTCTATTTCTCAAGGACTTCAGTGTCTTGGTGGAGGGCAAGGAGCTAGCTAGAGCCAGGAAAAGATGGCTTCAAAATAGGCTTTTCTTCAAACATATGTGACAACCACGAGGGCTGGAATAAGCAAATCTCTAGTGTGGACTTTTGGAGTACTAGGCATAGTTCACCTTTGTTTCTCAGGCCACACTGAAAGACTAGTAACCAAGGGTTTCAGAGCAGAGAATGTATAAAGCACTAGTCTAAGCTAATAAGATGGACAGTGCCATCTCAGGATCTGTGGACAGACTTATATTTCCTATCTCAGTGAATGGCAACAATCACTTGCCCAAGTCAGAAAGCTGGCAATCTTTTTCATCACACCCACATCCAAGCTTACCCCCTTGCATAGCTCTTCTGCTTCAGTTCAGGTACTTCTCTCTCACCCACAAAAATGCAGAGGCCTATTAACTGGTCTCTCTGCCTCTGGTCTCTTAATAGAGTATCCCTCGAAAATTGTTAATTATGGTACACCCTGGCTTAAGATCCCTCAGTGGCTCTCTATGGCCTTCGAAATGAAATCCAAACACCTTCATGCAACCTCTCTAGTTGCATCTTGCCTTGGATTCTGTTATTTCACTGACTCTTGATTGGTCTTCAAATGCCAGCCTTAGCAGCACCGCCTCTAGCTTTGACACCCCCTCTCCAGATTAGATGATCTTCGCCTATGCTTCTATATCATCTTTTGCCTAAATCTTCTGAGTACTTACCACATTATGCAATGATTATTGGACTACATATTTATCTCCTCCACCAGAAGAGTTCCTTAAGCGAAGCGGGACCACATCTTTCATCTCTGGATTCATGGTACTTGATAGTACCTAACACATGGGAAGCTCTCCAAGTGCTAGTGACACAAAAATGCATACAGCTTCTACCCTTGAGAACTATAGTAGATAAAACAGCTACAAAAATGAGAAATTATAATACAAGTGCTATGACAGATGTATGATCAAAATGCCGTGTGAACACCTTCCATTCCTACAGTTCCATCATGCTCTGTATACAGCACTAGTCTAAGCTGAATTTTTGCTTAGCGTATCTCCTGGAACACTGTAAGCCCGAGACAGGGGACTAAAAAGGGAAGGACAAGGGCTGTGTTCTATTCATCTCTGAAACATCAGCGCGTCACAGAGAATTTGACAAAGGCACTCTATATACTGTACTGAATACATGGAATAATTAATTATGCCCTTCCTAGGTGGTGGGAACATTGGTAGTTTAGTAGTAAAACTCTCGCCTTCCATGCAGGAGACCCAGGTTCCATTCCTGGCCAATGTACCTCACGCACAGCCACCACCCACCTGTCAGTGGTGGCTTGCGCGTTGCTATGATGAAGAACAGGTTTCAGTGGAGCTTCCAGACTAAGACTAGGAAGAAAGGCCTGGTGATCCACTTCCAAAAATCTGCCAGTGAAAAAACCCTATGGATCACAATGGTCTGATCCATGACCCATTATGGGGATGGCACAGGACTGGGCAGCGTTTCATTCTGTTGTGCATGGGGTCACCGTGAGTCAGGGGCCAACTCAGTGGCAGCTAACAACAACAACAAGGAGAGGTGACAAGGGAAAGCTAAAACGAGGAAATGGACATTATCACTGAACATGAAAGTCATCTCCCAGAAAGAAAGGGAAAGGTATTTCAAGCAGACAAGCAGCACAGCAAAGGCATAAAGTGGCAGGGTAGTCTGGGAAGAGCCCTTGACAAGCACAGCTGATTTTAGGAAGATAACCAAAGTATATTCAAAGGCCAGGATGTCCATTCCATTCCATCTGCTTGGCAACCCTCAGATGTCCTAAGAGACTCACAGTGAAGAGGCCATTATTCTAGATCTCCTATTATGAAATAAAATAGAGGGTTCAACCTGCCAAGGACAGCTATAAAACCTCAGACGTAACTCAGAGGTTGTCACGAGACTCACAAAATTGAATGCTGACGTTTTTTCATTTGAGACTACAGACCAGGTACTAGCCTGCCCAAGTTCAAACTGAATTGGTGTGAGACCCTACTGGTCATTCCCCCTAGTCTTAACTGAACACGTAACAGAGCAATTTAGTTTGGGATTATAACCTGTAATTATTTAGCAAGGTTCACTAAAAGTGGCTATAAAAACGTATCATAGGAGAAAAAAAAAAGACCCAGTAATTTCATGTAATGGAACTGCACAGTTAACAATGGTTCTGTGGAATATTTTACATAAAATGGGCCATGTTTTTTAGCTGAAAGAATCACAATGAACTTCAGGCCTTGTTCTAAACCAAACTCTTTATAATGTGTGTGGAAGGCAAAGAATGAAGTCAAAATGAGAATACTTTATTTTGGTTTGTATTTTTAATTTATGAAAACTTGCTTCAGGGCATTCACACACAGCACAGATACACTGTTAGCAAGCTGAATTTTCATGCTCCTCTTATCAATATCTCACATTTGGCTGTTTCTGTAACCTCTGCACCAGAACCAGGCCATCATACACTCACAGGGGATCATCACATGCAGGAGACAGAGTTGTGCTTCCCTAGTCAGTCTATTCTATAGTAGGGCTTAAAAGCGGGCTTCACATGCTTGGTGTCTATTGATGGTGCATTGTTCTGCCTCACAGAGAGAAAAAGGGATGGATCCTGCTAATGGTTTTTATTTTAATAAACTGTCTAAAATCTGACAAGTATAATTTCAAGAGTAAAGAGTAAAACAAGCAGATTCTATGTTCTATGTTGTCTGAAACTTTGAAAATCAGGGACTTTCAGACTAGAATATTCCTTGCAATTAAATGTGGATGTGTGACTTTGCAGCCCATTATAAGTAAACATTCTTTACATCAAGAAGACAGGGGTGAGAGGAGAAGAAATTATGAACATGAAGTTGAGGAATGCCCTAAATATGGAGAGAAATGCCGAGAGACATTCCCACATGGAAGAAAAACTCCTGTAATGAGCATGTAATACAAGGTTACAATGAACTGAGGACATAAAATTGCGTTTAGTGTCTTTGGGGGTTGAAAAAAGTCTACCATGATAAAGAGGTGACCAGGTGATAACTCATTCCTCATCAAAATTCAAATATATCTATATGGAAAAATCACTTCATAAAATGTCAAGTCTGGTTATATAATGGGTAAGAAAAATCATTTTACAAAAACTCCGACAAGTAATACTTGTAGAAAAAAATATATATATACATATAAATGAAACCCACTGCTGTCTAGTTGATTCCGACTCATAGCAACCCTACAGGAAAGAGGAGAACTGCCCCATAGGGTTTTCAAGACTATAAATCTTCACGGAAGCAGGCTGCCACATCTTTCTCCCATGGAGCAGCTGGTGGGTTCAAACTGCCGACTTTTCGGTTTGCAGACAAGCACTTAACCACTGCGCTATCTAGGTAAATAGGTAAAGAGATGAGGAAGACGGGAAAGCTCTTCCTTATAGTAGAAAGCTAACTAATAAATGTAGACAGAATTAGAAAATCACCATTTACCAACCGGAATGATGCTTAAGCCAAATGCTCCAAGTCCAGACTTTGATTTTTGTATGCAAAAGCATTAAAAAGCGGGGTGATTGCTAATTTACTAACGAATCTGTTGATGTGAACGTATGATGTAATTCACACATTAGTTAGTACTCTTTGAGGTTGGCTGCCTTAATCTGGATCAAAATTTAGAGCTCACTTGCAAATGATGGCCACAAATTTGCCCTTCATTTGTTTCAGACTACCAAACACCTAACTGGCCCTAACTAGGAAATCATTCTTCTGATGAGCAATAGAAAGAAACTTAAAAATCCGCAGCTGCCATGAGTGACATAATAGAGAAGTCTGCTAGAATCACATGTGCCCGGGGGAAAAAAAAGAATTCTCAAGGAAATATAGTTTCTGTGTTATCTTTTAAGATTTTAAACATAACAAATGAAATAACCATAGCATTTATGTATTTTCTTGTATGGCATATAAATGTGAATAATGATACTATTCAACTAGAACTGCATGATGAAGCAGATTTATACTCAAAGTATACTTCATTCCTCTTTATGCTGACTGCTTCAAACCTAGCAAAAGAGATTCATCATCATCTACTTTCACCTGAGGTTTAAAAGTAACTTTTAAAGGCTCAGGGGTCGGGATTTCCCCTCCTTCGTGGGAAGGATACGTTGCTCTGGCCTCGCTGCATTCTATTTCACTGAGCTCATCCGGGTGGAGCTCACTGATGGGACCCAGAGACTCACTCCTGGCAATGATGTCCACACCCAGCTCCTGGACGCCCTCCTGGCCTTCAGCCACAGTTCGATCTTTAGCTTTTCTGAGGCTACGCATCTTAAAAGTTTCCTTTGAGGGAGTTGCATTAGAAATGGATTTCTTAAATCTTTCACCAGATTGCCGGAGCCTTTCTCCTGACTGTCGGAGCCTCTCTCTCCTCTCAGGTGTCACTATTCTAGTTCTAATTCTGTTCACTTTCTTGTCAAAATTCTGCCGTGTCTTCTGCATGTTCTCTTTGGAAAATGCCTTTTTGATATTATCAATGCGCTCCTTGCCTGACTTTCTAAGCCTAGCAGATCTGCTTTCTTCAATGTAATACTCTTCATCAGAGGAGAGATCAATAGGAGGGTCAAAGCCATCATCCTCCTCCTCTTGAGTCTCGGTTAGGTTTTGGTCTTTAACAACAGACAGGGATGTCGGACATGGAATCTTCTCCTGAACAAGAGAAAAACAAGGCATGTTAGTGTTTTCTTTGCACTGGAGATCAGTTCTTTTACCTTCCAACCACGCCTTTTGAATTTCCTCCATAGGGCTGTTTAGCCTCCCCTGCTCCTGAAATGTTGGTATTTCTCAGGGGTTCTCTCTCCTTGGCCCTTTTCTCTTCATCTCCCAAGCTTACCCTGAGCATCCTTATTCACTTCCAGGCCTTCAAATCCAAGTGTAAGCTAGCTCACAAGTATTTTATCTTCACCTCTCCCCTTCACCTAAGAGGAAGACACTTTTCTAAATGCTGGCCAGACTTCTCCACAGGAATATAACACAGGTACCTCAAACTTAACTGCCCTAAAATCAAACCCCATCCCCCATCCTCTCCACATCGCCTTCTCTTCCTGTACCTCACTGCACCAACACCTATCTAGGAGTCACCCAAGACAGAAACCCCAGAATCATCCCGAATATTTTCTCTCCTCATTCCATATCCAATAGGTTGCCGAGTCCTTGAACAATACTGCTTAATATCTTGTTTCTTCCTCCCCTCCTCATTCTCTCTACCAATGTCTTAATTCAGGTTCTTGTCATCTTTGGATCGAGCTAGTACAATACCTCCTCATTGATCTCTCTACTTACATCACATAAATACTTCTAAAGCATAGTTTTGATCATGTCTCTCCTCTGCTTCAAAACTTTTAGAAGCTCATTAACACTCAAAGGACAGAGTTCAAATTCTTTAGCATGATCATAAGACTCTTCACTATTTGATCTAAACCTACTTTCCCACTCCTCCAGTCCAGCAACACACAACCACTCTGAATTCCTCAAACATAACATGTTTTCATCCCTCTATGCCATTGTATATGTGCTTTTTGCTACCTTAGATGCCCCTTCACCTCTTTCTGATTTTGTGAATTAAATTTTTCTTCAAGACTCAATTCACATGTCCCTAACTTCCCTAAGTGGCTAATTTTGTCCCCAATTTAAACCAAAGAGATTTGTAAAGGATACCGCTACTTAAAACATCTACCACACATTGAATTGGAACTCTGCTTTTATATATCTGTCTCCCTGAAACCTTCAATAAACAAAGGAGTCCTTGAAAGTGGAGATATTTTGTCTTATTTATGTTTTATGCCCAGTATCCATCACAGTGACTTCTATATGGTAGGTATACTCAATGTAAATGTTGTTGCATAACATAAGAAGCTTATTTCGTCATTCAGCAAATAGTTACTAAGCACCCACCATGCACTGTCTATGTTCTAAGAACTGAGAAGCTTCTGTAAAGAAAACAGTCAAAGAGCTTACATGCTAGTGGAATACAAATAAGTAAAACATAGTATGTTGGACAGTGATAAGTGCTAAGGTGAAAAATAAAGCAGGGAAGGGGGTTATACAGTGATGGGGGAAGGTGCTATTCGAAATACAGCGATAGGAAAGGCCCCACAATAAGGTGACATCTGAGCCTAGATCTGAAGGTAACGCATATATGCGGGGGGGGGGGGAGGAGAAACAGCAAGGAGGGAGGCATGGCTGGAGGAGAGTGATCAAGGGGCAAGAACAGTAGAAAAGAGAAGAGAGATAGTGGGAGGGTCAAATTATGTAGGGCTCTGTATTTAATAACAGGGGCTCTTATTCCAAGTATAATGGGAGGCCACTACAAGGTTTTGGGGGCAGTAGTGACATGATTTGACTCATGTTGTAAAAGCGCCACTCTGCTGAAAATAGACTACAGGGGCAAGGTCAGAACTAGGTAGACCAGATGGAAACTACTGAGAAAAACCAAGTAAAAGATGGATCAAGGTGTTGGCATTGGTAGTGGTGAAAAGCAGCCTGATTCTGATCTACTTTGAAGGTGGAGACAACTGGATTTGTTGCCAGATTTGGATATGGAGTGTTAAAGAATGAAAGAATGACTCTCAAGTATATGGCCTGAGCAAATGAAGGACAGATCTGCCATTAACTGAGATGGGAAGACAGCAGGAGGAAGGCACCCGAGGGGAAGGATGGGTATCTGAACATGTCTTTCAGATACCCAGTGGACACCCAAGCAGAGATGATGAACAGGCAGCTGTGTATATGAGTTTGGAGTTCAGGAGAGAGAGCTGGTTTAGATATAAAAATTTAGGAGTCATCAATGTAAAGACGGAATTAAAATGAGAGAGATCACCAAGAGATTGAGTGAATGGGTCAACAATTAATTATACAAAATTTCTTAGGGTCAAAGTATGTTTCAGAATTCAGAATAGCTTAGATTTTGGAAAAATAATATGACATATTACATAATATTCCCAATGAGATCTAGGGAAGAAACATTTCTAAACAAAAATATGAATATTCACATTAAGTGGGATAAAGACTATAAACAGCCTCATGGTACTTCAGGTCAAGTCTTAACATCAAATGAGTTACAGTCAAGCTAGGTTTTGCTGCCAAATAAGTCACGGAAAACCTTTTTATTTTAGGCATTTTTTTGTTTTTGTTTTTTATTGTACTTCAGATGAAGGTTTACAGAACAAACTGGCTTCTCATTAAACAATATTGTTTTATGACATTGGTTAACAAACCGACATGTCAACACCCTCCCTTCTCGACCTTGGGTTCCCTATTATCCGCTTTCCTGTCCCCTCTTGCCTTCTAGTCCTTGCCCCTGGGCTGGTGTGCTCCTTTAGTCTCGTTTTGTTTTGGGTTTTTTTTTACTTTATTTATTTATTTATTTTTTTATTGTACTTCAGGTGAAGGCTTACAGAACAAATAGTTTCTCATGAAACAGAAGTACATGTTGTTTTATGACATTGGTTAACAACCCCACAACATATCAACCCTCTAACTTCTCA